AGATGAAGGTGGAGATTACATTTTTTTTATTTATTTGAACCATATGGAGTTGGTCATGCCCACTGAAGCTCTGGGAATGCCTTTTTTTCCCCCTATTTTTGTCTTCTGCCTTCCTGCAAACAGCAGTCCTGTTTTCCTAAGTCATTTTGCTCTTGCCTGATGGAAAAAAGACAAATTCTTTGAGCTTTCCTCGTTTGTGTGCTTTCCCTTCTCAGCCTTTCCCCCCTCATCTCTGATGGGACGGGTCAGTGCAGCAGTCATGCAGTATGGCTGGGCTTTTGGGCAGGTGCCATGGGCAGAGGTGGGTGTTGCTGTGGCAGGAGATGTTGGCTAGCTGTGACGTGTCCCATGGCCAGAGAGAGAGTGGGAGTCAAGCACAGGCACCGCATCCCAGAAGTCAAACTTGGCCCCGTTCTTCAGTTTTGGTACCTTAGTGTAGGTGCTGCTATGAATACCTGGTAGAGCAGTCCTGTCCTACCGTGTTCCCGGTGGTCTCCTCTTTAACATGCAGGTCAGTCAGCAGTGTCTAATTAGCGGTCCATTCCTGCAGCTGTAGATACAGTCCATTTGGCTTTCTAATTAATATGTGAAGCAGTATCATCATCATCATTATTTGATGGCAAACTGTTCTGTGTTAGCTAGCGTAGATCCCAGCCTCTGCTCATGGCTGCACCTAACTTCGTCTCTGTCAGCCAGAAAAACAATACGAGGCTAGCAAAGCGTTCATCTTGGCCAGACTTCCATCCACACCAACAGCAGTCTCTGAGCGTCTTCCATAAAGTCAGTGCTCAAAGCGATTTAGCAATTCTCTTAAAATTAGTACTTCATCACAGAAACTCAGTTTGCTCCACTCCTAGGACGTGCCCTGCTAAAAGCCAAGAGAATAGCTCAAGTATATGATAATAAACTTTGTCTTCAGCTTTGTCAAAAAACACAGCATTTTTTTTTTCCCCTGGGACAAAAAAAGACACTCCAGACCTTCTCTATCACTTGTTTGCCTGAATGAAGTCATCTTTTCTAAAGCCAACACGAACTGCAGCTCCTAACCTCAGTCATCCATCCACATCTAAATCAGCACTTCAAGTGAGAAGGCAAACAACAAGTCAGGATACCAGAACTATCTGCCCTGTTAATGAGTCTGCTAATGCCCACTCCGTATTCTTTTTTTCAGAAACGCTTCCTGCACAAGACTACCATGTGGGAAAATCTGGAATGTCTCTGGGCAGGGCAAAAAGCTGAATAGTTTTCAATCTAGTCAGGGTAAAATGGAAAAAGAATAACGTTGAGCTGCCTCAGGTTTTACAAGTCAGCCTAGACAGAGAGCTTAAACTCCCCAGAAGTGAACCATGTATAGTGAAGAGTGGGGAGGATGAACAGGGAGAAAAGACCGGGTGAAGTGAGAGAGCACAGTTTGAAAGGATCCGCGATGGCCTTTGTATTTATGTGGGATTTAAAGCAAGTCAGGGCTCAGGAGCAGGGAAGGAGCTTTGCACAGCCAACATCAGCTTGTGCTGTTGTGCCATCTCAGTGTAAACTGTGCCTCCCGCTGCACCCTGGTGTCAAACAGGACAACGAATGGGAATTCTGCAATGAGTCGATTCCTGTAAGCCAGTTTGTTTCAGTGGTTACTTCTGTGAGCTGCCATGGATACGTCATGGTGAAGAGAATTATTTACACCTTTTATCTCTGCGGTCAGATTCTGTTGCACACAGTTTTAATGTCTTGTGATCCATCAGTGGCCTTTCCCTCATCGATTGATAGAAATTCGCTCTCAGGCATGTCTTAAAATCGAAGTAGCATACTGCCACCAAAGGCAGCAGTGCATAACAGCACCCTGTTTTAGTGGTTCGTTTTGTTCATTTCAAGCCCAAGCGGTACTGCTCCCAAAACCCAGGGGGAAGAATCATATGCAAAAAATACCCCTGGCTTGGACATGGCACAGAACGGGATGTCCCCAGGTGGAGGCAGCACTATGGGCATCACATCTCTGTGTCGTGGCAGCACGCCTCTGCGCTCCTGTGCTCCTCTGCTGCTTTAAGGACCGGCATGTCAAATACCACCAGCAACTGCAAGGTCCAGCTCTGCTGAGCGCACAGTCATCGCGTGCCATCAGGCGTCTCTGCGTTGCCTAAAAACCCTTCCAAATTCGTGCTCCACCACTGTGCTGCATCTGTTCAGTTGGTCGCTGAAGCACCATCTCTCTGGGCTCGTGCAACGGGTTATGGCTTCGTAACTGAGGAGAACAGATCTTCAGGCTCGGAGACAAACACCCAGGGCCTGGAGAAGTCTCTCTCTTCCCCCTCGTCTCTCTGCTCTTTGAGTTTTAACACTTCCTGGTGTCACGGATTATGCCTGGCCTACTTTTTTTTTATGTGTGCGTTTCCAAAGCGTTTGTGACAGCCTCCTGGAGCTCGTACCGCTGAGGCGATGAAATCACTTTCCATCGCTGTACTCGGTGGCAGAAGGTGGCCGGCAGTGGGTTCCCCTTCTCGCGTGCTTCAGGATGCGTGACCGTCCCTGTCCTTTGGTGATGGCCGCTATGCTCGCCACCCTGAGCACCAAGCATGCCTCCACCCTGCGGCCTTCAGGCCTCCGTGGCTGGGAGGTTCCCACAGGGAAGCTGTTTCCCCCTGCTCCCTGGGGGCAGTGATCTTGTCATCTTGTGATCACTGCGGTGCTGTGAACCGATGTGAGGGATCTCGGGCGAGAGCTGCCTCAGCCCGTGGCTTCGTGGATGCCTCGCACCTCAACCATTTCCCCCGGCAGGTGAAGTGGTGGTGCCGGGCAGCGATGGCAGAGGTCACTGCTCCCCATGTGTTTCAGGAGGAACCAGAAAGCAGGCTCTGTTTCTTCTTCCCTTCTGCAAGTATTTAAAATAAAACACTGCTTTCAAGCAACTGGTTTGCATACTCCAGTGCCTAACAAGCAGACACTGAGCACCAAAGGTCCATGTTACCCAGCCTAGGTACCCGGTCTCACTCTTGGTCTCTGTGAGTTAGGCACTTTGGCAGGCTGAGGAGCTGTCCTGTGGTAGATGGTGGGAATGCAGCTTCTGGGGAAGGGTCAAGATGCCTGAGCTGCCCCCAGTGCTCTGGACAGAGCTATATATGAGATGCCTCCACACATGCATGATGTACCGCGCTTCTCCCACGTCCCCTCGGGATATGGAAAGCTTTTCTGCACCTCCCACTGCTGCCTGCTTTGCAAAGCCATGACAGAAACCATAAGATGGATACTAAGAGTAGTACCCATGAAATGCTTGCCTGGGAGGCCAGATGTGGGCGCTGGGCAGAGCAAAGGCAGATGAGCTCTGTGAGACCATCGCATGGCACCTCCTGGTGCTGCGGTCTTGTAGCTATGGCCATGGCCTTCAAGCATGTGTGAGGGAATGCACAGCTTTAATTTCATTCACAAGGGCAGTGGCTGTTCAGAAGGGCTTCCAACCATGTTTAAAGGAATATAGCAGGGAGCCTGTACTTAAAAACAATTATAAAGCCCCATGGGTCAGGACCTATCTCCTCTGGGTTAACATGCAGGCACAGCTGGCGTTGTGCTACTTCTGCTTTCCCCTTCCCTGACCAGAGCCCAGCACTGCTGCCAGGTGAGGAGAGGAAACATGCAGGAAGCAGCTGTGCTATGGCTGGCCTGGCCCTAGAGGCTGCTTTGACACATTTGGTCTTGATCATCTGCCTAAAATTGAACCAAAAGCATGTCAGTCTGGGACAGAGCAGTCTGCCTGGCAAGGAGCACCACGTAATTGGAAACTTAAGCCAGTATAGTGTCCGCTTTATTTCAGAGACTTTCACTAGGCTCTCAGGGCCAGATGTATGGCATAATCGCAGCACATCTGTCCTGCCACCATCCTCCTTGGTGTGGCATCTCTTGGATGCCAGCAGACTGCCCCCCCGGCCCCCTCCCCACACCCCCATTCTCCTCCCAGGAGCTCTGCAGTACTTCCTGCTCGTGGTCGTCCTCCTGGCTGCTGGGCTTCAGTCTTTTGTCCAGGCTGTTGTGTCTGGGGAGTTTTCCAAGGCACACTTCCTTGTAAATAACGCCTTTTCTTGCAATCTGCAAATGTAAAGTGAGCTTGTGTGTTGTGCCAAATTGCACCGTACCAAGAAGTACTGGAGCTCTTGAATTTCTTCCCAACTCTTCCAAGCTGGAAATCTCCTGGGATAGTTTCTATATTTTATGGTTGACTATAAATAGCTGTCACATAGCTGTCATTTATATTCCCTTCAGGAGGCTCTTGAGAAAAGGAATTAAGGCATCAAATGGCTCTGGTACATGATGTATCCTGAGCATTTTTGATTTCCTTCCGTGACATGGAGTACTCAGCTTTGCAGGCTGGGAGGTGCTGGGCCTGTGGCTGTGCGCGAGGTGCGGGCAGCCCACAGGGCTGAGCCGCAGGGATCTGGGGTGCCAGGAGGATGCTGGTATCATTTGCTCCTCACACCCTTGGTTTTAAAACAAAGGTGTTCTAGGTTAAGGCGTTTGGTTTGGTTCTTCGCCACCACAGCAAACATTTCTACTGACAGGGCTGCAAGTAACATCACAGTTTTCCTGTCCTCAAACTGGACATGTAGGAGATTGAGGGGAGACCATGACCTGCTGGCGCAGCCCTGGGGAAGGGAGGAGAGGGGGGCAGAAGGCCTCTGCCAGCAGCCACAGCCTTTCTGCTCTGCAGATTTGCAGCTCCGAGGCTGCTCTGCTCTCCTAGCTCTCTTCCGCCCTGATCCCTTCCCAGGCAGGTAGTAAGTACGTCTTGTAGTGAGGGTTTTTTGGGCTGCTTTTCTAGTGGTTGTGGATGATTTTATCCAGTCGAATGGAAGTGCCAGAGGAATAATAATGGTGTGCTCCTCTCAAACTAGCGTAGTGCATTTGATATAAGAAGCATGGGTGCATGGGCAGTGGTCATCCGGTGGGGTCAGTGTGGTTGGAGGGTTTTTCAGCTTGAGGATCCTTTCTCTAAACACCTTCTTGTCCTTTCCTCCCCGCAGGCGAGCGTCCGTTCCCCTGCACGTGGCCCGACTGCCTTAAAAAGTTCTCCCGCTCCGACGAGCTGACCCGGCACTACCGCACCCACACCGGCGAGAAGCAGTTTCGGTGCCCTCTCTGCGAGAAGCGCTTCATGCGGAGCGACCACCTGACGAAGCATGCCCGCCGCCACACCGAGTTTCACCCCAGCATGATCAAGCGATCCAAAAAATCCAGCTCTGGCTCCTTGTGAAGGCAGGGCCGGCCCGGGGAGCGGAGCAGGGGGTGCAAGGTGCGTCCGGCAACTGGGGATCAAGCATTTGTAGCCGGTGTTCAGAACATAAGCACCTTGTGCTTCCCACTCACGCCCTCCCCCTCGCTGGGAGCAGCCGTGTTGATGAAGGGGATTCCGGGCAGAAGGACGGGACCGCCGCCTTCTGCCATTCGGCGCGTTGAGACTGGCGTACGTACGTCTCACGGGATGGTCCGGCCAGTGACACCACCGTAGCGTGACTCTGAGGTCTTTGTGATTGCTGTGTCATGAACATGTTTTGTTGAACAATGTAATGCTGCTTGTGTTTTAGAGTCTGTCGAGTAAAACCACTTTCCGAGTCACATAAGTAATTCTCAGATATAAAATCCATAGCACATTGTAGAAGTGGGTTTACTTCTATATTTCAGAATGATCCTTCATTTAAAAAGACTGTTAAGAGAAACATTACATGTTACTAATAGCATCTGATTGATATACTGAAATAAGGTGAATTTATACTCAAGAAGACCCATTAAAGTAAGGGGGTCTTTTTAATTTTTCTTTGTATTAACTATACTTTTGAATATAAGCTGCACTTTTCCAGTAAAAACATGTAAAATTCAAGCAGATACTTAAAGCAAAAAACACCAACACAACCACTCAGTCATTTTCTGACCATACGTGTATTTAGCTCTGTTGTTCAGTTACCTGGAAAAATACAAGTCAGCCTACATAACCTGGTGGGGGGGATGAGGGCAGAAACATACGTCTCTCAATTGATCTATATTTTCATTTGTCAATCAATACAGTACTGTACTATAGAAATGCCAGTAACAGTTCGTTATTCTGCTGTGTTTTGTTTGACTGGATGGATTACAGCAGCTACCATCTTTATAAACTGCTGCTTTTTTACAGGTTTTTTCTCTTCATACACTTGCCTTAAAGATTTATTCTCTTCATACACGTGCCTAACTCCTGCCACATCCAATGGGAGTTCCGTGTGCTTATGGAGAGAGTAGACCTTTCCTTAGGAGCACTCTGCTAATGGAAACAGTTAAATTTATTGTAAAAGAGCACTTCAGAAGGGCTCCCGTATCTCTTGATCACTGTTTCTGTAGAGTATGAGGGAAAACCATGAGCTAATTGGAAATACAACACCCAAGGTGTGTCACAATATTCCTTCTGGCATCAGCTTCCCTAAGTACCTTCAGTCATACCTGTGTCATGCATGACATGCCAAATACCGATCAAGGCAATATTATGTTTAACTTAAAGCTATGTTTTGCTCTCTAAAAGGAGCAAAAAGATCACCGAAGTTGAACTTCCAAGTCATGGTCATTGTGTGAGTATTTCATCTTTTTTCATGTTAAAACCATGCACCATACCAGGTTACCAGTGATTTTTTTTTTCCCTTCCCAGCTACTTTATAAGGGGATAATTATGTTTACACATTTCTTCCAGAAGCATTCTTCTGCTGTTCTGTTTTTACTCCTTCCTCCAGAAGAGGAAGGGGAGGTGCAGCCCTACTATAGAGACTTAGGGCCCAATTCATCTCAGGAGTAATCACACTGAAATCTGAAGTATTTCCACTGCAGATGAATTTAGGTCATCCTGTAAAATTCTGTACATAAAGATCCTGTTAGTACAGCTGCAGTTACCGTATCTTATTGTTTTAATTGATAAAAAGCTTGCTTCCTAGAAACAAACGTTAAAAAAAAAAAATGAGCTCAGAGAGTAGGGTATTTTCTTCTACAGTTGTATAAGGCTTTCAGCATTAGAAATCAGTTTGCTTATAGTGTTTTTACCTGTGTAGTTCTTGATAAATTCTGTCTATGTGAAGAGAACTGCTTTTAAGGCATTAGGGATATCGAGCAGTCTGTGGAGTAAAAAGGGATGTGTTTTCTTCAGTGAAGACATCAGGAAACCAAGCACACTTTCTACCTCCGTTTCAGCTTTGTGAAACTTTTATTTTAGAAACCAAACTTTAATTTCTGGTGTTCAAATTGAGTTGTAGGGACATATGTTCTTCCTAACAAAAAATAGGTAGCCTCAGTATTTCTACTGATCTAGAAATACAGAAATGGTTCCGCTTACCATTACTGTTAATGCTGCCTTGTTAAGCGGAGTTAGGGCCACGTGTAGCCCAGTGAGATTCAATGGAGCATGCATATTCATTTTCCTTCTTCTCTGTGAAGATCACAATAACCTTTTGAGTCTGTCCTACAGTCTGGATTGTTGCCATTTTGTAGGACAAATGCAGTACTGGGAATATTAAGGCCTGGTTCTGTGAAGTACAAAACACCCCCACGTGCTGTCAACCACAACGGGAAGCCACAGCTGATAAGCAGCTCCTAAATCAATAGATAAATGGCTTGGTCACAGCTACCGGGATTAGCCTACATGTGGAAGCAAATGGCCAGATTCATAGATCCCAGCTTCGATACTTGGGGTAGAATGCGCATCTAAGGAAATATGATCATCAATTCTTCAATTTCTAAAAGAATTAACAGGCAGGGGGTTACCTTGGTCCACAGAACAAAGGGACCTATAAACGCATGTCATCACCACTGGTGACAAGATCCTGTTTCTGAAAAAAACCTTCCTAAGCCGTAACCAATTTACTCTAATGTATGCTGTATTTCAGCATAGGACAGACAGGACTAATGTGATTTTTTAACCACTAACAGAATACATGGGGAATGATCAGGTTTAGATATTTCAGTTTATTGTATTGATGATTTGGGTCTTTTAGTTTTTCTTCTAGTAAAAGCAAACAATGGATCTAATACATGAAACAAACTCCAAGTTAGTTTTCTGCATCTTCAAGTTAAGTTTCAAAGAGTGCTGCAAATGTTGGAAAAGAAAAGGAAAATCGGGTTCTCTAATACCGTTCATACTTGTTGTACTATTTTGGAAATACTTAATAGTGCTGAAGTTAGGACAGCTCCTCTCCTTGGTTCAGAAAGCCCATTACTATAGTGAAGTCATGGCTTTAAAGGTATAGCTATACATACTTCAACATACTTCTTTTTCAAAACAGTTTCTCATAACCTTTATTACAGATCTGTTTTCAGTTTGCAGACAGACTTAGTTCAACATACACCAGACTGGACACATTCTTCAAAATGCTGTTGTAACACTGTAAGATACAAACTTCCAACAGTTTAATCAGTTTTATTTTTGTACAGTATTCGTATCCTTTATAAGTTATTTTGCTGTCCTGTTTTGTAAATCACATGAAATTGTAAAAAAAAGAAAAGGAAAAAAAAAGTAGGCATAGATGTTTTTGTACATATGTATATATATATTGTCAAAATAAAAAGAAATGAGTTAAAAAAAACAAAGGTTGTTTTGAATGATTGGAGTCACAGAGTGATAATGTAAACCAATCAATATAAACCAACCAAGTAATCATCCAGTTTAGATAATTATTTTAAAAAATTCTGCTGCACACGGTGAAATCCCTGAGTTAAGTGGCATACGGACCAGTTTCAAAGGTCCCAGCCTTGCTTGTCATTATTAAGCTTAGGTCTTATTTCTCTACTTTTCCACAGTATTTTCAGAGAGATTCCTTCTCCCACTACTGCAGAGACAGCGTGCAGTGGAGAAAGAGTGTCCCTTCATGCACTTGCCACAGCACCTACGAGGTTTCCCACTGCTCAGCAGCTTTTGACCTCAGCCTGGTGCTCTCCCTTGCACCCCCGCAGCCTGTACACCCAGCGCCACTGCCTTGAGGTTTCCAAAGGTCTGGAGGAATTCATTGAGGTAAGGAAATAAGAACACCATACCTGTGCAGCCTCCAAAGGCCAGAAAGGCAAGGAGCCCTTCACCAAAATGCTCACTGATGTTTACAGTCAGGACTAGCCAGAAGCGACTACTTACACAAACTATCTTAACTTGGTGCATGAGAACTCAACCTGGCAGCTGGGAACCACACTAGGGTGTAACTCCCCGGACCCAAGGAACATGTAACCCTGTGGCACTGCAGGCAGAGACAGAGGGGTAGGCGTGTGCCCTCTGCATCTAGAACTAAATTTGCAGGCACATTTGGCTTGGATACTGCATTGGAGTTTTCTGTCCTTGGCTGGACAGCCAAAGGACACACAGAACAAACTCAGCACAGTTTTCTTTTTTTAGTTTGTCATTGTTTCTAGGAATAAAGGACAGAGGGCTCATTCCCCTGAGCTTATTCCCTTGCATTCCCATCATAAAGGACGTTCCATGTGTTTTTTAGACTCCTCTTTAAAGTATTTAACATTTGCCCTTGGTGCTCCAATTGGAAAAGCTACCAAAATCTTCCAAGTGTAGACAATGCCATAGCCTGAGGATGTTTCCAACCGTTGAGATCTAGTACACTATACAGAATAGCCTTTCCAGGAGTGATGTAAATCTTGGCTGGAATAGGCAAGGTATGCAGACTGGAAGCACCTCCATGGATGCTGACTAAGACTTCAGCACTGACATGAGGAAATGCGACCCTGAGCACAGCCCAGCTGATTCAGAGAGTACAATTATTTCTACAAGAAGTTTTACTACTTTCTGCTGAAGAGAGAAGAAAGGAAACATGCCATTTAATACCATGGAAGTCCAGTTAAATGTCTGCAGAGTGGTTCAGAAAAGGTTCACATGCAACCTGCCTGCTAGGATGCCCAGGCTGACTTTCTTTTCTGTGGGAATCTAAAGCCATGTTGTTCAGCACTCACTCAGCCAGGGCTAAGGAAACCTGCCTTGACTCCTTTCTGCATCAGACCTCTGTGAGAACTGCTACTTACTCAAGGGCTTTTGCATTGGAAGCAAAATCTCTTCCAGCTTGAGCTCCTCACACCTGCCAGCCACATCTGACAAATTACATCAACAGCAAAGCAAAGTCACAATTGTCAGAATAACGCACTTACTTATCAAAGCCCTCTTTAATGGACTGCCTTAAATAAGCAAGGGAAGCCTTCCCAATGACAAGAATTTTCCAATTAGTGTTTTCTGTGTCATGTTGTCCTCAACTGAGAAATCACGTCCCCTAAATTATCTCCCCAAGCACTTCTACAGGTAGTACAGAACTCTTCTTATTTCAACCAGGGATCTTCTTGACTGGCATCAGTTCTAATCCATAACTTTTCTTTCTGTATTATTATACACTTTTTCCACTTCATACATCTGTATGTGGAGCCCATGTATTCCTTTTGGGGTGAGAGTGAGCAGAGTGCCTCTGCTGCATTCAGCTTGTATTTCTGAAGTTGCAGTTTTTCTAACCTGCTCACTGCCCTCAGTTTACAATTAATTTACAACTGACAAACATCCTATTGCTTTCCATATCAAAAGCCATCCATTCCCCTATTCCTCTTTCGGTATTGTCTGTCGCCCTTTAGGTGATAACCCTGTTAATGAAATCAACACCTGGAAGACTGCACTGCTGAACAGAAGGTACAAAGGTAATGGAGTATATACGCCACAGGACTAGAAGCACCTAGTAGATGAGATCAACTTACCATCCCAACACCCCAAAAAAAAACAAACCCACGGGAATTCAGAAGGCACAGGAAAAGAAAGCAAAGTGCACAGACAGTAATAGAGCCCTCTGTGGGCAGAGCCTACTGTGCTGAAAGGCTGCAAAGAACTGTCGTGGTCTTTCCAAGTGGCCTTTTCTTCTTCTGGCTAATGGGCAAGAGGTTGGAAAGACATCAGGTGAAGTTCCAGGAGAGATAAGGAGGGAGGTGTAAGTTAACCCAGTTCCCTGCAGAAACCACATACAACATTTTGTGTTCTGCTGTTAACCACTGCTTTGGTGGTTTCCAAGCAAAAAACATTTTAGAGAACCCAAGAAAAGACATGCATAACTCCTCTGTCAAGAAACACAAGACCAGGGAAAACCACAATTATGTTATTAGGCTATGCAATGTTGATGGTTAATCATTGCATCCATTTTACTGAACCACAGAACGAAAATCTTACCTAGAAGCGAAGCTACATTCAGCTTCTACATTCAATGAATCGTTTTTCACAGGGCTATCATTTTTCAACTGCTATACTTAACTGGGAAAGCCTTGCTGTAAACTCCTTCAAGCTGAAATAAAAGGAGATTCTCTCAACGTAACATACTATGATCATTTTTCATGAGAACAGTTATTTAAGGCATACCTATGCTTGGGGAACCGTATGCACTCTGGAACCTGTACCACTTTCATTACGCTGACATCAAACCAGTGCATTACGTACAGCAGAGCGTATTTTAAACACAAGAATTCTGAACACAGAAATCCTTCATGAACAGCACAATCAGGCTCAGAAACAGACAGAAAGTGGATCCAGATAGGGGCCCACAGGAAACCAGAGCATCATTGGCTTTTTACTTAAACAGACCTGTAAGTATCACTGCAGCAGCGCAGAGTGGGCCTGATACTGTTTATGGTACCTAAGAGCAAGTCCCTTTCCATGCTCTCTACTGATCATTTGCTTTGGATTTAGCCCATGTTCACAGTTTGTAATTCTTGGCGATCAAGGGGGGTAGGAAAAGGAGAAACACACACACACAAACAAAAACACGTTTTGTCATCCATGAAGATAATACACAAACTGCTACTAATAGAGTGCAGTCAAGATCAAGCAGTAAAACTTTCTAAAACTTTACTTAGCAAACACAGCTTTCTTTCTGGAATCCCATTTGTTCCTTGACTCTTCGTATGACTCCAGAGGACACTAACTGCTCTTCAGTTCAACACACTAGTTCT